AGAGAGAGAGAGAGAGAGAGAGAGAGAGAGAGAGAGAGAGAGAGAGAGAGAGAGAGAGAGAGAATGTGGGTGTGTCAAAAAGAAAATGAGACCCAGTCTGGTGGCAGATTAATGAAGTTTGGGAGAAAGGGAGCATTCTGGATTAACAATCCACTGAGATTACCCTGACCTCAAGCACACAGACACACACATACACACACATTTTGAATCCAGGCCTGCTATTTTTAATAAATTACTCCACACATTGCTTTATTAGAGTGCAAACCTGCAGGTTGTAGTAATTTATAGATGATGTGGAAATGTGTTGGGGGCTACTGTCTCCTACTCAAACACTAAATATGATGTGACAGCGCAATTTGCCATCCCTGTTTCTCCTCTCATCTCCTCGACTCTCCATAAACTTATCATCCTTGTTCTATCTTGTTATCTCTTCAAAATAACTTGTTTTATTTGTCTGTAGTTTTGTTCCGATGCTGCTTTAAACATTTTTTTTCTTTATCCGTGTCAAAAAAATGAAAATAAAAAATGTTTGATCAAGCAACTGACTTGACAAACGTGAATTCAGTAGCAAAATATAACTTTCTATGAATGAAAGCAAAAATATCCAGGATGTGCTGATTTAACAAGCTGAACTGGATTTCTGTTTCATCTTCAAAGACATTTGGTTTCTCACTCAATGACATTTTTTTAATTCTTAACTTTAACCTGCAGAGTCCAAGACTTAAAACCTGTGTTGGTTATTTATCTTGGGAATTAGACCGAAGATGATTGGTTTTCAATGTGAACCTGTCTAATGTTCAACTGCACTTAGAAGAATAGCAGTATGCTACCTTTCAACAAGAGATAAAAAGTTTTAGTTTTATAAAGTTTATTATTTTTAAAAAGATATGTATTTTAAGAAATTAATCAACTTTATAAACAACAAAAAATACAAATCATAAATAAAATGAAAGGCAACAGAAAGAACAAAATATCTTATATCTGCCCCTTTTTTCAAATAAATAATTAAAACAACAATAATCTTCAAATAGCAAAAAAACTCCTTCTTGAGAAAAAATACATTTAGACACTAATGGTACTGTTTCACACTTTTTCAAAAACCAACTTTGATTATTCTCTTAAACCAGGGGTTCTCAAGCCATTTGGGTCTGGGGACCCCTCATAAGGACGAAAAAATCCAGGGACCCCCTCATAAACCCCAGGCTATTTTAAAAGATATTGTTTTGTCGTTTCCTTGGGTCCTTGGGTGTCCTGAAAGGCGTTTTATAAATAAAATGCATTATTA